AGGGAGGGAGGGAGGGAGGGAGGGAGGGAGAGAGAACCACATGCATCCATGCAAATGCAGATACACACACACAGTGTACTGCTTATGTTTTGAGCATATTCCAAGATCCTAGACTCTGGGGTACTATCAAAACCAATAACCAACATTACAAGGGCTAAATAAGTTATCCTTAGTTAGCAATGACCTTGACCTCTGGTAACTGGTGGTCTGGAAGGAGATATCAAATCCAAGGGAAATTCCCCTTTAGTTCAAATGGTATATTTGCTATTTTTGGATCTCAGGGCACATGGTTCAACTCTCAGGAGCTATGTATTAACACTTCATACATCTGATGGAGAGAAGACTGCTGTTTTTAGGAAACTCTTTTTTGGTAGCTAAATGTCTTCAAATTATATATACGTACATTTACATAAATTGTAATTCCTCTTTAGGCCTTAAACCATCATTATTAAAATGAGATGGGCAATTTTCCTGAATTGCTTTATCATTTAAAAATTATTGGTTAAAACAATGATTTTTTTTTTCCCCCTCAAGACCACATGAGAGAAAAGGCCTCTCTTCTCAGAGCTAGGGCCCATCCACCTTCCCCGTGGTCTTTGCTGAGCATCAGCAGTTTAAACATACCCAGTCTGTGCCTTAAAGAGTTCAACACAGAGAATTCCCCATGGGTTAGTCAACTGCTGGCTCATATACAAAGAAAATACTGTATCTGCTCTGAAGTGCTTTCTGCATCAATTTAAACACAGTGAGACAGACACAATATCCCAGAGAGAGGAAAACCTACCTTATTACATTCCTGACCCAAGAGGAAGGATTTGCCCTTAGGACATAAAAGGAATCTGAGGGATGTAGGGGAGAGTTATCTAATCCTAAATATAAAAACAGTTCACAATGCAGCATGGCAGTGCTTTTAATCGCTGACATAATTGTAGTATGTATGTACAATATGATACAAGGGAGGTAAATGCATTTGATTTTCAACCTTAAAGGCTTTCTTCAGTATTCTACTTTAGGTCTTCTGGATTTTATGCTTGCTTTGGGGAATATTCAGGGGAAGGTAACGTGATATTATAAGGATTCTTTCTCAGTAAGATCACATCTTGTTCTGATCTGATCCGATGCATCTGTATGTGTCAAGTGTGGTAAAGCGAAACTGAGCTCTGGGATGCAATGTTTTACAACCCTTCCTTGATTTCCTGTGCAAGTCCATGTGGCCATAAAACAATGGCAGAAGAACTGGGATTTTCATTTCTTCATATGGGAGAGCCGCTGTGAGAGACTGTAATCTCAGCTAAGCGTGATGTGGGCCTTTGCCACTTTCCTTTCACAGCTACAGGAAAGATTTTTTTTTTTTTTTTAAATCAGGGGTTACACAATATAATCTAAGCCTATGGTGCCATCTCCGAGGAAAGAGTGGCATCCGTGACTGATTGTTTGGAAGGCTGATAAAGAAACTTGACATTTTGAGAAGTTCTGCTTTTTTT